CTCTTGGGCCCAGGAGGTTCCCCTATGCGGGGAGGTTTTCCTCTCTAGGGAAGGAAACCACACACACACACACCTCTGTTCTCGTGACTGCCTTCTGTTCTCCAGTGTGGTGGCCCTGCTTCACCTGAGAAATAAACATGTGACCGCCCCTTCTCCCCGACTGGGTTTATAAGAGGTTTTTACTAATCACTGGGCAGTTACCAGTTCCTCATCAGTGAATCTGATTTCAAGACGTTGATTCTAGTTAGTCGATACTAATAAACACTAGTAAACTCCTCTTACAATGACCGTAGTCATTTGTGCTGCCCCTTCTTGAAAATGGATGTGCTCATATGAAATGAACTGCAATGAGATGTGAACCGTGTAGATGGAGCGTTCCACCGCATTAGCGTCACACTGAATTGGGGCTAGCATCCCCGACTTTGGGCCAGCAGCTCTGAAATCAGGAGTTGGAAGAAAGTGGCTCCGGTCTCACTGGGTCTTATGGTAAAAATGAAACCTTGGGGTCCCCAAATGCTCCTCCTGGAGACTCCAGATTGATGTTCTCCACGTGGAAAACAGTACCTGTATTGTGGCCCGAGTAATGAGGTTTAAAAATGGTTGGGAAGCTACACATTCACATGAGCACTGTGTCTCAAAGTAGCCACCGAGGAAACCACGTTCCAATATTGCAGACATGCTGGGACTCCCTGTAGCCAGCGGTTCTCAACCTGTGGGTCGCGAACAATGAAAATACATCCTGCATATCAGATATTTACATTACGATTCATAACAGTAGCAAAATTACAGTTATGAAGTAGCAACAAAAATAATTTTATGGTTGGGGGTCATCACAACATGAGGAACTGTATTAAAGGGTCGTGGCATTAGGAAGGCTGAGAACCACTGCTAGATGCTGTCCAGAACCTGCTCCTATCGGCCTAGGAGAACCAGGTTTATGGCTTCTTAACCACATTTAGTTTTAGAATCCCAAACAGAATTACATCACCTGACCAATTTTTTTTTTTTTTTGTCACTGATCTTAATTCTAAATGCCCCTTTAAAGTATAGACATTTGCCACCAGTGAAGAGCTATTGAAGAATGCGCTCTTAGGCTCTGAAAGCTAATCCCAGTGAAGGAAGCAGAAGTGATGGGAAACATTTTCAGGTCTTCTGTGGCTGCCACACGGAAGGGGACAGCATGTTTTAGTTCTGGTGTGTTTTCCTACACCCACCCAACGACCTTGGTGTCTTCCCTCACTGCCCAGCTGTGTTGAGATTTGAGCAGGACTGTGGGTTATGGGACTGGAACACACTTCCAAGGCTTCCTGTATAGAGAAAGCGTGGAGTCAGTCATTCCTGTCATTTGGGGCAATGGCTTTTTAACTTTTGGGGTCACAAGACCGCTTTAAAAATGTAACAAAAGCTGTGCCCACTTTCCCAGAAAGGCGCACATAGCCTGAGATGTTGCACACCACTGGGACTCTGAAAACTTCTCCGTATCCCCAGGTTAAGACTCCTGCTCTTGGGCTCTGGTTTAGACCTGTGCTACAAGTCTGTGTTGATCAAACTGACTAGGTCAGCTCCATCTAGCATGGCCTAGCTCTTAACGGGGCAACTAAGTCCTGTTTAGCCATGAAAGTCGAGCAGTCAAACAGTCCCAGGGCAGCTGTCAAGGTCCTGGAGCTGTCCCAGGCTCCTGGGAGGTCCTGCAGCCTAAAATCTAGCTGTCCACACAAGGACAGGGCTGAGGAGTCCCTGGTAGTCCATTCCTTACAGGAGGGTATGGGGCTGGAGTCTATAGAAGTACAATGGGGTTACAGGACACCGGTTGCTAAGGATTTGGGGACGTTAGTATTGGTAAGATTTCAAATAACTGTTCTGGGAGTGTCGAATAAAACAGAAAGAAAACTGAACCCCACCCACTAGGAAAAAGGCTGCCTGGATTGGGTACCTGACACATTTGGAGATCATGAGGGGGTCCCAGAGATTACCTAGTCCAAACCCTCTTGTCTCACCATCATGGAGGGAACTTGCCCAAGGCCACAGAGCTGGTGTGTGGAAAAGCTGCACTTACTGAGCACCTACCCTCACTAGGGAGGCTCTGAGTCTGGAATCAAGATACTGTCCTTGCAGTTAATGCACTCACCACAAGGGGGCGCCTGCGTCCTCCTACTCCTTGTTTCCTTCAGAATGTTAGCCTGATTTTCAAGCAACTTGAGAGCAGCCCAGAAATTCTGCTTTAAAAAAAAGTACCTACTGCTTATCGAGCACTGCTGAACATCAGACGCTGCTAGTAGCTTTATGTGCACATAAAACATTCATATATCGTCACAATCACGGTTTGCACACCAAGAAGATACTGGCCCACAGCTTTTAAGTAACTCAATGAAGATCACAGAACTAGTTTGTGCAGATTCAGGACTCAAGCCTGATGCCTATTTGACTCCACAATTGGGGCTTTTACACTCCACAAGTACCTCTCCTAAAGAGCTGGATAACCCCGCACAGCCTGGGTCTAGGTCCCACTCCAAGACAAAGTCTTTCAACATTTTTCTAGAAGTTGGGGAGGATCCTTGGTTCCAAATTCTCCAATTCTCCCAATTTAGACACAATGAAAGAAGGACCTAGAACCATTGGGAAATAGGGCTTACTGTCCACAGTCACATGCCCAAAAGACGGCCAACTATAGATCCAGGAGCCTCACTCTCAGCCCTTGGTGCTCCCCAATGGTCTCTACAGACATATGAACCCTCCTTGATGTGGTTCAGAATCCCGAAACTCATTCCTTGGCAATTTACTTCCTACTGCAATTTTCTTCTTCACTTCCTTTCTTGCTGTCTTGGAGGTGGCTGTATTTTAATAGATTTTCATGAGCATTATAACTTTAACCCTGTTGGAGAAATCAAGAGCACAAATGAGAGAGAAATTGGCTCCATGGCCCTTAGAAGGCTGGGTGCGGGCCCCGCAGGCTCCTGTGGGATTTGGGACAAATAATAATAATAACTAAAACATATATAGCTATTTATTATTACTCTTTGCCAGGCCCAGTGCTAAGGGATTGATGTATCATCTCAATAAATCCCACAGTAGCCCATCGAGGTAGGCATTTCACCAAATATTACAGATGAAGAAATTGAGGTACAAAAAAAGGTTAAATTATTTGCTCAAGCTATGCCTGCTGAGTGATGGGATTTGGGCCCAGATAGCCTGATGCAGAAATAATGTTCTAAGGTGCTATTCTATAGTTACTCTCCTAGGAGTTTGCCCTTTTCCAGGCAGATTTCCCAGCCTTACTGTCCTAGAATGATGATTCTATGCACCTGCACAGCACTTTACAATTTATGGATGCTTCCCATGTAATAATCTCATTTAATGATTCATTTAAAGAATATTTATTGAGTGCCTACCAACTGCCAAGTACTGTGCTCTAAGTCCTTGCTTCTCCAAATGTGGTCCCTGAACTAGCAGCAGCTGCAGCACCTGGCAGTTTGTAGGAAAGGCAAAATCTTGGGCCCTGCTCCTAACCTGAGTCAGAATTTGCATTTAAACAAGATTCCAGGCTGGCTCATATGCACATTAAAGTTTGAGAATCCCTGTTTTCTAATATTTCCATAAAAACGTCATGAAATAGATATCCCACTTTAATACATGGGTAGATTGAGATATTGTGACTTGCTTGTCTTCCCACAACTAATAATGAGGCAATCTATGTAAAGAGCTTAGAAGAGTGCCTTGCACATAATATGTGCTCAACAAACAACTATGGTTATAAATGACAGCTGTAAACTGTTGCTTTTCTCAACTCTATAGCCCTTTGGCCTCAGCAGAGACCTCTTCGGCGCCAGGCATTCATTCCAAGCGGTGAGCCAAGGATTGTAGCTCCTTCCCAGCTCAGCCAGAGTCTACAGAATGGGGAATTAGGGGCTCTGAAAGCTATTGTTGGGTGTGCCTGATCCTACAGCAGGGGCCATCCTGTGGTGAGAATGTTGGTCTCCAGAAGAGGCCAGATATCGAAAGAGACCAGCAGGCTGGATACCTCCTGGAAACTGCATGCCTGCAAACCTCATCCAGTCTGTCTCCAGGCTCCTCTGTGCTGAGCTCCCTGCGTATCCCAAGCCATCCCAGCCTTTCTCTCCTCACTTCCTGCCCAAGCCCCTTCCGTAGAAGGCCATCTATACTATACGGCTCCCTCCCAATCAGCAGGACACCATCTAAGGAGGGACTGGGCCTGTCTTCCTGTGCTGGCCAAGACCCCCCAGGGCCCTCCCAGCAAGGGCCCATGGTGCATACTTTCCTGTGCAGGTTCCCCACGCTCTTTGGAGAACTAACAACACCGAACATAATTATTTTTAAACAGTCTACTATTTTATCTTTTTATTCTTTGAAATGAAACTTTAATATACAAATATGGTCTTTAAGGTAACATTTGTTTATGGAAAAAATTTCAATTATAATATTCAAGTTATATAAAGTTAAAGGTCCCATCCTTTAAGGATGTCATGAGAACTTCTTGACAACTTGTTTCCTTTTCACAATGACCTCACTTAGGCTCGGAAGCTGAGCAAAACCAACTTAAAGGCTTGCCTTTGCCTGAACCACCCCAAGTTCTCCTGTTTATAGTCACTTAACTTTTCCCTATAACCCTCTGTGTTCGTTAGACAATAAACGTTCCAAAGGCGCTGCGTTTCTTCTCCACCGTCCGCTCATTCTCAGTCTCTGACTGTTCTTCTTCCACGCCCGCTTTTTATCCCCAACCTTGGTTCCTTCGGGACCTGGAGGACACCCATGGGAGCCTCCTACTCTCCCCACCAAAGGCGGGCCCGGCCCCGCCCCGCTCCGGGCCCCGCCCCGCTCTAGACCCCGCCCCCCGGCGCCGAGCTCCCAGAGCTTCGCGCTCCCGACTGACGCAATAGCCCCGCCCACTCACAGAGGCGAGCCCCGCCTCCTACGCACACCCCGGGGGCGGAGCTCCGCTGTACGCCCGCCCCAAACAGTCACGTGTCCACACAAGCGTGAGGACCCTCGCGCTACACCCCCTTGGGCTGGAGCCCGGCTCCCCGCTCCCGGGACAACGTTCGCCCCCGCCCCGGGGCTGCGGGCCGGAGCCGGTGAGTGCAGCCGCCCGCCCTCCGCGTGGGCCGGGAGAGGCGGCGGCTCCCTCCTCGGAGGTGCGTGGAGTGGCCTCCCGTCCCGAGCTTTGCGCCGCCCGCGCGCGTTGTCGTCACTTTGTTATCAGCGGAAAAACTCGAATTACGAAAATTTTAGAAGCGTCCCCATGGAACCCGCACCCCTGGCCGAATTTCCTTTTTTCGGGGGGCTCCTTACCACCGCGCCTCCCCGCATTTCCTCCCAGAGGCTCCTCAGGGCCTTTCAGTCTTGTCCCTGCGCCCACCTCTCAGCCCCCTCGCCCCGAGAAAGTTGGGGAGAGCCTCCTTTGTGACTCTCCCCACGGGAGGGAGTGATTTCCCTCGAAAGGAGGAGGACGCTGACGCTCCTCTCCCTGGTTCAGTGGGTCTGCTGCGAGCCCTTAGCCGGGCCTTGAGGGCAGGTGTGGTTTCCCTGTCCGGTCTGCGTCCCGCCTGCAGCTTGGGCTCAGTGGACAGAGCGTGGGCCTCGGCCTGCAGGGTCGCTGGTTCTGGTTAGATTCTGGTCAAGGGCACAGACCTGAGTTGCAGGCTCGTTGGACCCCAGTGGAGGGCGTGCTGGAGGCAACTTATCCTTGTGTCTCTCTCACATCAATGTTTCTCTCTTCCCTCCCTCACCGTCTCGAAAAATATCCTCCAGTGAGGGTTTTAAAAAATGTGCCCCTTCTCGTTTTAATTGTTTATGGCTATGGTAGAGGCAATTTGCTGCTCAGTTTTCCATCTCCAAAAATATACTTAAACATGCCCTGGATCTAGGTACTTGAAGGATTAGGTGCATGTCAGAGGGAGGCTTTTCCAGAAGCTTCCTCCTTTGGAGATGACCTGGGCACAGGGAGCTGGCAGAGGGTAAGGTCAGCTGCAAGTATCCAGTTTTTTTGTTTGTCTGTTTTAAATATGTTTTATTGATTTCAGGAAGGGAGAGAGAGAGGGAGAGAGAGAGAGAGAGAAACATCAGTGATGAGAGAGAATAATTGATTGGCTGCCTCCTGCACGCCCCCTACTGGAGATCGAGCCTGCAGCCCGGGCATGTGCCCTGATGGGAATTGAACCTGGGACCCTTCAGTCCACAGGGCAATGCTCTATCCACTGAGCCAAACCAGCTAGGGCAAGTCTCCAGTTTTGTACCTATAGACCAGCGGTTCTCAATCTTCCTAATGCCGCGACCCTTTAATACAGTTCCTCATGTTGTGGTGACCCCCAACCATAAAATTATTTTCGTTGCTACTTCATAACTAATTTTGCTACTGTTATGAATCGTAATGTAAATATCTGATATGCAGGATGTATTTTCATTGTTACAAATTGAACATAATTAAAGCATAGTGATTAATCACAAAAACAATATGTAATTATATATGTGTTTTCCGATGGTCTTAGGCGACCCTTGTGAAAGGGTCGTTCGACCCCCAAAGGGGTCACGACCCACAGGTTGAGAACCACTGCTATAGACTCTTGAGTGTCTTGAAGGTCTGATTAGGGGAATATTACTACATTTTAGTGACTCTCAGACACCATCAAATTTAAAGTGCACATTTTTGAATGCACTACAAATTAAGCTATGAGAAAGCATGGCTTGTAAGAGGCATCCCCATTTCAGGGATTTTAAAATGGTTTTTAGAATTGCTGAAATACACTAGTTACCACCATGCCAAGTACCCACTTGGAGTTTTGGGTTTTCATCCTTACGTATAGAGTCCCTGTGCAGGCGAGGAAACAGGTAGTTACATAGCGTGTCCTGGGTAGGGGGAGAGGGGGCGGTACTCCTGTGTCTGAAAAGCTGGGGTGCAGACCTCTCAGACTCAAACATCTGAATGCCTCCTATACAAGCTCTCAGTGAACTTGGGTGATTTGGGGCAGGGATTTGATTCAGTGTTAAAATGGAACCCCAGCTGTTTATCCATTACCAGGGATAAATATGTGTAGTTAGCTGGAAGTGACCCCTCCCTGTTCTGAACCCACATGACCCTGTGTCTGCACTTGTCATGATTCTGAGCTCTGCACTGTGGTTGTCACATACACAGCGCCCTTAATTGTGAGGGGGTCCTGGGAGGGCTCAATCCACATCTGTGTCTTTGTGTCCCTTACAGCTTTCCCTACAGTGACCATCTCTTTCCTGAAAAAAAGGAGGGGGGAATAAATCAGCAGCAGTGGGTTGGATTAGTTTTGGGGGAGGAAGGAGCAGGACAGAGACAGTGTGGGGATGAGTTAGAGGCCACAGTCCAGGCAAAAGGTAACAAGGGTCCGCTCCTGTTCAAGCTGCCACAGGATCAAAATAGAGGGTACCCTGAAGTGCTGTCTAGCACTCTGTAGGTCAGTGATGGCGAACCTATGACACGTGTGTCAGAGGTGACACGTGAACTCATTTTTTTGGTTGATTTTTCTTTGTTAAATGGCATTTAAATATATAAAATAAATATCAAATATATGTCTTTGTTTTACTATGGTTGCAAATATCAAAAAATTTCTATATGTGACACGGCACCAGAGTTAAGTTAGGGTTTTTCAAAATGCTGACATGCCGAGCTCAAAAGGTTCGCCATCACTGCTGTAGGTGCTTAATTGTTTGCCACATGATGTTTAAGGGAGAGGAGCTGGAAGGGGAAACCCTTCCTGGGAAGCTGGCTCAGCTGGTTCCGCTCTTTGATCTGACCCTCCTCCCAAGCCACGCTCCCTTTTTGGTCATATATACTGTTAAAAGTTGGTGGCAAAAAATAGCTGCTTGAAAGCTCAGAGCTTGACATCCAGCAGAGATGCTAGAGCAGTGGTTCTCAACCTTGGCTGCACATTAGAATCAC